AAAACAAATCATTAATGTAGTTTCATCTTAACATTGCTATTTTAGCCGATGATGCATATTTTGAAACAATTTATGTAACAATAAAATATCTTCGTTCCAAAAATAAATTTTACAGCTTATTTTAATTAAGCTAATTAAAATGATAATGGTGTGTGAGCTGTTATTTTGAGGGCGTGCATATATGCATAGACCCGGTGCCTGTATGTATTTTATAAATATTAATGTCAACGAAGCGTAAGAGAATATTGTTGATCCAGCGCGATGGAAAACATCGTTAATCACCAGATGAATATTGAATTCTGATCTTCGATTTTATTTTAAACTGATACACGTTGACAATTTGTGGTATGTGGTGTGTATGTTAACTTGTGTTTATGTTAAACTTTCAAGGGGTTTATCTAATCTATTTGTTTGTTGTAAATCTACTGAGTTAGTGATTTTAACAATTAGAGTTATTTCATTATTAAATAGGTAAACAATCATTCTATATCTGCCACTGGTGAGACAATTAGATTTGTTCTTTATTACAAAGCATTTTCTACTAGTGTTTTTTTTACCAGATGTATCTAGTGCGATATATATTTAACCATTTTTTATTTTATCTCTACAATTTTTCTTTAGTAATAAAAAAAGACTTCAAATCGTATTAATAATACACTGAAAAAATTAATTGGTTAATTTAATAACAATATTGATGGTTATTTCTTGCCACAGATTATTATAAGGCTAATTTGTAGCGTGTATGTAAATATGTTATAATATATCTTTATATTCACCAATATTCTTTGTGAATTTATGTAAAAAATGTGCATCTCATAGTAAATTAGAAATGTGTATCTCACTAAAATTAGATAAAAAAGTAAATTTACTTATTCGTTGTAAATTTATCTTTTAAAATCGCCAACTTCTTGTAGGTACTATTACTATAGGTAACAACAAATTTAAACATTTTATTATAGTGAATTTACAATTACTTTTGTAAATTTACAAAGCGTTAGTAAATATTAATAAATTTAATAAAAGACGTATTTATAATTATAATATTTATTATAAAGGTTAATAAAAAGTCACAAAACAGAAGTTATGTATGTAAGATACTCATTGCTCATTGCCATCTCTTCTTGTCTAGAAGAACCTTACTGAAATTCTGAGCCTAACCAAAATAGGATCAAAATTGCCATTAGATACAAAATAAAAAAAATATGCAAGAAAATGGTATCTAATCAAAACAGTCAACTTACCAACTCAGGGACTATGGATGTATAGAGTCCTCTACTCCGGTCCTCTAGTAAATTTGTCCTCCGAAACACAGTCTGGAAGAATAAGTAATACTTGACATATGTTGATATAGAGAGATCATGGAACAATAATTATGTTTACATAAACATAAATAAATCGCTAAAATTAAAATGCAAATAAGTATAATAAATGAAGATTGTGTTTTCTAAGAGGGCTGGTTTTATATTTACAGAAACTACATGTAAACATAATTTAAATACAACATCAAACGTTTTTTTGAAAGTCATATTAAAAACCATAATTAAGTACGCTTATGATTGGTCACTGTAAATTTTTACACAATTTATTACGAGTCTCTTCTCGTCCATTATGTAAAAAATGTTAGATTCTCCTGATTCGTTCATCAGATTCTCCCATATTTTTGTAGAATGTGAACATATGTCCCGATTTAGAACTAGTCTTGATCTCAATAGCTCTCTAACCAACGTATTTTAACCAACACAGGAAACTGGATACTAGTCCAAGATTTAACGAACATAATGAAGAATAAAAACTAACTAACTAACTTTAACTAAAACTCGAAATACGCTGCTAAATAGCCATTGATACTGATTCGGTTACAAACCTAAAATTCTTCATCTTTTGTCCAAAAAATCAGCACCCTCCCGTCAACAAACTTGTGTTCTACTTCCCTGAAAAGCTCTTCTCAATCGTAGCGATGTCTTGATGGAACTGTTCCTCATGTTCTTGCGATACTGCACCTACATGTTGGGAAGAAGTCCAGCTGCGAGTGAAGGAAATGCCCTTTAAGACACGTTTCATTCCAGAGACCTGTACGCTAAAGAGTAATTCCTCGACCTGGTCTTTAGTTAATAGCTTTTTTCGTTTTCCTGTTATTACCGATTCTGAACCGTCCTAGAACTCTGCAGCGCATGCGCAAATGAAATAATGTCTTCATATTTCCTTCTGCGCATACGCATCACAGTTCTAGGACGATTCAGAATCGGTAATAACGGAAAACGAAAAAAGCTAATATTCGGTGACCTGAGCGACATAAATCATCACTTATGTGTTTATTCACAAAGTTCTTAACGTGTTTTGGACTGCAAATTAAGCTCGTTTTTAATTTCTATTCAGGTGTTCAATAAACGTAAAATCTTGTTAAAGCTGCCTATTTTTTTTTTGATCCACAATTTGTATTAATATAAATAATCATGATATCTTGATCTAGTCAGTCTTCTCATTATGTATGGTTAACATTGAAAAAATCACATATACGTGTGTACTAATATTATATGGACATTTTAAACATACTTTCAAAAGGTATATCTGTAATAAAAAACGTTTTGTTTTATGCTGATAAGAGGAGTGTGTAAACTCTCAAGAGCTCTCTCTAAAACACTCTTGACTAGCTCATGCAAATGCAGTTTTATAGCTGAATTAATATGCAAATGTATTTTATGCTTACGGTTGCAATCCTTTACTTCTGCTTGCATCAAATTAGAAACAAATTCAATGGATATAGTAGCATTTAATAAAGACAAAAACTATTATGACAAGCGTCTACAGATAATTTGAATGTCTGTAGACGATATTATATTTATACAACCGTACATTTTTTGTAGGAATCAGGTATTTTCTAGATTTTTATTGATTTTAAAAAATACATTTTTAAATAGTAAACATGAAATGGAGCTGTATTGAAATACTGAATTACTCTAAATTATTAAATACAAAATATATTAAATATAGATTGTACACTGTACATGTTGTTTTCTTCTACCGACAGCTTAAATTTTGCCAATCCTCTTATACGACTTAAAGTGAGGTTAACGACGTACAACTTTATTAAGTCGAAAAGAAAGATTAAATAGAATATAATCCGCTTTTTTCGAGCTGGTCGTCGTCGTAGTTTACTGAAAGTCGGCCATTAATTTACTTCAGTGATGTCACCAATTTGTCGACTGACCCGATGTATTAAACCTTTGAAACTGACGCTCTAAAGTGTATGTGACATTATTAATTTGTTGTGATCCTTAATAGTTTAAAGTGGTATCACCATCTTCGTTAAGAAAATATGGAACTGCTATAATTATCTTATCATTTATATTTTTAATATGACATTAATTAATTTTAGGGCATACAGGATCGTGTATATCATTCGTATCAAAAGATTAATTATTTATACCCGGTGCGTCTCAAAAGTGGCTCACCCCTATAACTTTTTTTATTTTTTCAGATAAGAAAACGAGATTTGGTATGTTAGTATATGACATAAATTAGGATTGATTGACATATTCAATTGTTTTTGGTCACTTCCTGTTTCACCGGAAATGACTACAACTTTTGATTTTTAAATGGCACCCTCGGTATTTTTTTGACTTTATTCGATAGAAAATGACATTCTGAATAGAATAACATATATGTCAACTTTTGACACTTTCGCTTAATAAAAAATTGTATTTTAAAATTCAAATTCAAAGAGTGCCATGGCTATGTTAAAAACACTAATTCTTAATCAAGGAGCCTTAGAAAAATAGATTTGATCGTCTAATGTTTTTAGTGTCTTGTCCTGACCAGTTAGAAAATGCTCAAATCGTATTTTTAATCATATCTCAATTTTTTCAAATGGAACGAGGGTGGCTCATTAGCTTATTTGGAAAAAGCATTTTTTTACCAATAATTTGATACCACACACTTGGTATTTCGAGTCAAATTTTCGTTACGAACCGCAAGTTATAATTTCGAATAAACCATATGCGAAAATGTCAAGAGGTGACATATGATATGTTATTCTATTCAGAGTGTTATTTTATATCGAATAAAGTAAAAAATACTAAGGAATTTGATTGAAAAATCAAAAGTTGTAGCCATTTCCGGTGAAACAGGAAGTGACCGAAAACAAGTGAATACGTCAATCAATCCTAACTTATGTCATATACTAACATACCAAATCACGTTTTTTAAACAAACTAAATAAAAAAGTTTTAGGGATGAGCCACTTTTGGGACGCACCCGGTATAAGATGTATTATAATTCGCAGCCATCTTGGTTCTGTATTTTGTATCTGTGAGAATAAAAGAAATTGTTAGTTCTCAAATTTCCGAAACAATTGTTAATACACCTTTTTATTTATTGTTTTACAATCCTTTATTGCCATCCACAATCGCCATGTTGCCATTTTCCTTCGCTTTTTTAAAATCGCTGGTTACAATATAATATATTGAGTTATTTTGATCCAACATATACGAGCACAATATATAAAAACCGTTTGTTATTTACAGTTTAATTTGACCATAGTTTATTAAATAGACTATATTAATAAACAATATTTAAAAAACACAAAAAAAGATAATTTATTTAAAGAAAACACACATATAGTCGCTGATAAATGCGCGCGGTATCTTTATCGGCCGTCCCAGTTGAACAACGAACATACAAAGCGGAGTAGCGGAGCGTCAAAAAACCGACAGGAGATGGTTCTCGGCAAGCGATTTTCGCGCAGCGCAGCTTGACAACACGCACCAATACAGGCGAATCGGTGAATCGGTGCACGTGCGCATCGCGTTTGCGGCGCAGCGCGCTAATGTATACGCAGCATAAGATTATGTTTTCACTTTTGTTGTCAATTCCCGAAATCGTGCACTTTATACGTTCCATCGCACAGAATGTTTATCTTATTTTGATGAAAATATAGTCTCACAAAGTCCAAACACATAATTTCACATAATAATGTATTTTATTTAATACTTTCGTTTCAGATAACAAATATGTCACCGATGTATCGTAAACAACCCTTAATTTTGTGGACCAAAATTTGAGAGAAGTGCCTTATAGTTCCATGTAAGTATATATTTGATGTCAATTAAACTTTTAGTTACGTAATCGAGGGCGTGATTTTTAAATTCATTGTTGCCAACCACATATTTGGCGCCGGGCTGACTAACTGGAATTTAAATTTCCCGCTGGGGATTAAGGTGGTAGCTCTGCTGTAAAAAATGTCAAGTTGCCGCATTTATTTATTTCCTAACATTGTCATTCGTTTTGACACTTTAGTTTTGTATTACGAGTTTTTGGTTTAAATAAATTGTGTTGTGATAGTTTAAGCTTAAAAATGTTTACTAACAGACGTTGGAGTCGAACATTGTTCTTTTTAGAACCTCTTTTAGTGCGAAGTGTACAAGATAGCTTAATGGCTGTAAAAAACTCATAGCAACTTTATTAGAATATTTTGAACGAAAAAGCTGTAGTAATGGCCCTTTGTGTCATTTAAGCGCTGTTAAGAAGGTGAGTTTTTTTATGTAAATAATAACTGGTTATATATTTATAATTATATATTTTTGTTTCCTAAAATATTTTGATTAAAAAAAATATGCAAAACTGGGCAACGCTGTGCCGGTCAGGCTTAATCACGTGACTAAAAGTTTATTTGATATGACCTATACATACTAGAAACTAGATATAAATATTAACTTTTGACATTAATAATTGACCGTAAATTGTTATCCAATTTGGCACATTTTCATTGTCTAGAAGCTCATTTCTGGTGATAAATTGCTCAATATAACTATTGTAGATTTTTTTGAGAAATTTTTTATGAAGGTTTAAAAAGGTTTTCATCTTTTTGAATATAGAGAAGTTATAACAATAAGGTATTTAGAATATACTATTTATATACGAGTTTAAAATAGTTTTTATCAGAAGGAATCAGTCATGAAACCAAAAGACAGCATTATTTTTCGGGGGCTTATTTGATTACATAGATTTATTTAAATCCGTATACCTCTCGTCAAAAAGTAGATTTATCTATAGATTTTAACGAGAATAACTATAAAAAGAAGGCCGGAAGTTCTGTTCATATCAAATAAATGCATACCATTATTCCCAACCCTAATTTTAAATTTATAGGTGTTAAGTTACTTCGTTCATCGACTTTATTTTTCCACGTGTGCCTGCTGGATTTATTACTCTCGAATTAAATATGCGGAATATTTTTCACTGGTTCTAAGATCTAATAAGAATATTTTACTTCTATAATATTCTATACCGGGTGCATCTCAAAAGTGGTTTACCTCTATAACTTTTTACTCTTCCAGTTAAAAAAAACGAGATTTGGTATGTTAGTATATGACATAAATTAGGATTGATTGACGTATTCAGTTGTTTTCGGTCCTTCCTGTTTTACCGGAAATGCTACAACTTTTGATTTTTAAATGGCATCCTGGGTATTTTCTTACTTTATTCGATAGAAAATAACACTCTGAATAGAATGGCATATCATATGTCAACTTTTATTCGTAAAAAAATGCTTTTTCCAAATATGCTAATAACCAACCTTTGTTCCATTTGAAAAAAATGAGATATGATTAAAAATAGATATGGGCATCTTTTAACCAGTCAGGGGGACAAGACACTAAAAACATTAGACATCAAATTTATTTTTCCAAGGCTCCTTGATTAAAAATTAGTATTTTTAACATTAGCCATGGCACTCTAGATTGAAATTTAAAATACGATTTTTTTTAAACTAAAATGTCAAAAGTTGACATATGATATGTCATTCTATTCAGAATCAGAATAAAGTGAAAAAATGCCGAGGGTGCCATTTAAAAATCAAAAGCTGTAGTCATTTTCGGTGAAACAGGGAGTTACCAAAAACAATTGAATACGTCAATCAATCCTAATTTATGTCATATACTAACATACCAAATCTCGTTTTTTTTTATCTGAAAAAATAAAAAAGTTATAGGGGGCGAGCCACTTTTGAGACGGGCACGGTATGTCACAAATTTGCATAATATACAATATATGAGTTGCGCAATGATAATATGACTATTAGCTCCATATTTGGATTGCTTTTTCTATTAATACACATTTTGAACATTTCTTGCAAAGTATGCTTTCAAATTCCTTTTCTTTATTAGGGCATACTGAGATTGTAAACCTTTATTATGGAATAAGGAATAGAAATTAATAATATCTATAAATTATTAACTATTCAGAACAAGACGAGAGAGAGAGATGCATTTTCTTACAAATTCAGTTATAGGAATGTAGTGCAGATTGGAAGGTGTATGGAAAAATTCTTTATCTAATGAGGGTTGTTTCTTGTTCTCTTATATTGGTGTTTTAAATTTGCATGTTTTTTTTTAAACGCATTAATTTACAAGTGCATCATACACGTTATATGATGACGTAGATATAGATGTAGATTGTATAGGAACAGGTAACTCTACATAATACAGTCTAAGGCTTTGATAAAAGCCAATATCTGAGGCGATTTAACAGAGGTTAAACTCTCTATCTCCGATATCAATCGTACCAAAGATTATGGCACCAGTGGTTATTATCTCGCCGAGGTGTTGTGATACTCCCCCATTTTCCCCCACAGATTCTGCATTGCCCTTGTTTCTTAGCTTCAATCTATTGAGGTGTTCATTGAGGAGACAGTGTCCAATTATAAACCCCGTGACAATCCGAAGATTGTTCTTACTTAACTCGAGGAAAATCTTTGATTTTTCTTGGTCGTAAGTCTTGAGAAATTTCTTCGAGTGTCTTAGACCGTTGGAGGATTTCCTGGTTACGGATGAAGTCTTCCAGGTTCTTGAGTTCCGGTCTAAGTTGGGTTCCACTTGGGAAGCAGAACGGTTCAGGACCAGTTAGTGGAGTGTTCGCTCCTTTTCTAGCTAGATCGTTTGTTTTTTCATAATCTTCTATCCTCAGAGTAGGAGGACTTTATTTTGTTTGCTTAATTTATTCAGCTTCTCTAGGCATTCTCTGGCCAAATTAATTGGTTATTATCGGATATGGTGGATATTTCTTGTTTCTGATAGTTATACGATGACACTTCTTAATATTGTGCATCTAAATTGAAGTATTTAATATCAACTACAAAAATAATAACTATTGTTTTGTTATTTTATTTAAGTAAGAAAGTAAATAGCAACAATGATAGATCATAAATTAGCTAAAAATAACACATGTATCACACAAAGTAGTGTATGGTATGAACTGGATAATTTCCCTTCAATATTTACCACTAACAGCAGGATTAACAGGACCGATAGCAGCCACCCTTAAGGTTATTTATTTGTATACAGGGTGGTCCAAACTGTATTCCGGCAACTTCGGCAGCATATTCTGCAGACAAACATCAGTAAAAAAGTTCGTATAAATGTATGTCCTAAAATGCTTAGTTTCAGAGATACAGAGTGTAGAACTTTCATTTTTATTTCGATTTTTTCTAAATAATTTCTGAAATAACGTCAATATTTGGATGAAAATTGGTGTCTAGGAGTTTTTTGACATGAGAAATTTGATTTTGATGTCAATATGACTCCTACTAGTAGAGGGCGCCACCTACGTGTGTGTTTAACTGTTTTGAAGCGTAATAACTTTTTGTTCCTACCTGTATAAAACTACCAAGCGAAAAAATATACATCTCTGTGATTTCTTACGTAAAAAATATCTCTTTGTAAAAATCGCTACAAGCAACCGTTCTTAAGATATTTAGAATGGAAATAGTAAATACATGTCATTATTGACGAAAAATAAACACGTTGAGTAGATAGTTTTTTCACTGAAATAATAAATTTGGGAATTTTTTTTTAATTAGTCATAAATTTTTCTGCAAAAAATGATGATAAAACAGTTTCTGTTGAACATTTGGCACAAAAACATTTCAAATTTATGATTTGAGTCTAATAACTATTTAGTCAACATGTTTAATTTATGTCAATGATGACGTTTATTGATAACTTCTATTCCAAATATCTCGAAAACCATTACTCGTAGCGGTTTTTACCAAGAGACCTTTTTCACGTAAAAAACGTCATAAATGTATTTTTTTTCTCAGTAGTTTTATACAGGTACAGACGAAAAGTTATTACTCTTCAAACCAGTTAAAAAATATGTTGGTGGCGCCCTCTACTAGTAGGAGTCATATTGATATTATATTTATATCAAATTTCTCATGTCAAAAAACTCCCAAGAAGACACCAATTTTCATCCAAATGTTGATGTTACTTCAGGAATTATTTGGAAAAAATCGAAATAAAAATGAAACTTCTACACCCTGTATCTCCGAAACTAAGCATTTTAGGACATACATTTATACGAACTTTTTTACTTAAGTTTCCGGAATACAGTTCGGACCACTCTGTATAAATCTGGATCAAATTAAAAAATTAAAGGTAATAAATATAATTAGGTCTCGCTGATTTATTGTCCTTCCTTTCCGTATATCCCTTGTGTTTGTCTCGTCTTGTCCAATTTAAATTTCAAATGTTATAAAATTAATGAATTTTCAAGGAAACTGTTGTTTTCGGAAACTACACCCTTTATCAATATCGTTTAAATCGCAAATCAGTTTAATCTGGAACACCGTTTTGCAAATTTAAATCGTAACGGCCTTATAACAATTATTCTGCGAAATCTCGAATCAAGAATGTCTATTTAAATTACAGTATTACCACGAAACATAACAATGACGCAATGCAGAACATGTATTGTTTGCAGAAAAATATAAATTTTGTTTCATACTGTGACAATCGTAAAATTTAATTTTACAGTAAAACTTTATTGTGTAAGATTTGGCTAAGCTGACAAAATACTAATCATAATGTCCATAACTTTTTACTTAGGCTTACCTTTTCATATACCCACGTATAAATTAATGTCTTAAATTGCTTCGTTTCGAAGATACAGGGTGTATAAATTTCATTTTTATTTATTTTTTTTCCAAATAATTTCTGACCTAATGAGAAATTTGATTTCAATGTCAATATAACTCCTATATGTAGGGGCGCCACCTGTATATTTTTAACTGCTCTGAAGAGTAATAA